TTATTGTAACAAACCAGGACTGACCTACATAGACAACTGGCCCTGTAATCTAATTATAAGAAAGAAAAAGGGACACAGATTAACTCTTCAACAATTTAATAGTCATCATTTGTAATAGCTGTTCATTCAACTTTATTTTTTTTTAAGATTTTATTTATTTGAAAGACAGAGACAGAAACAAATCTTCCACTGCTGGTTCACCCCGAAAGGGCTGCAATGGCCAGGGCTGGGCCAGGCCTAACCCAGGAGCCTAGAACTACGTCAGGGTTGCCCACGAAGTGGCAGGGACCCAAGCACTCAGCCACAACCATCTTCCTATGCTTTCTCAGGCACATTAACAAGGAGCTGGAGCCGGCGCTGCAGCTCACTAGGCTAATCCTCCGCCTTGCGGCGCCAGCACACCAGGTTATAGTCCCAGTCGGGGCGCTGGATTCTGTCCCGGTTGCCCCTCTTCCAGCCCAGCTCTCTGCTGTGGCCAGGGAGGGCAGTGGAGGATGGCCCAGGTGCTTGGGCCCTGCACCCCATGGGAGACCAGGAAAAGCACCTGGCTCCTGCCATCAGATCAGCGTGGTGCGCCAGCCGCGGCCATTGGAGGGTGAACCAACGGCAAAGGAAGACCTTTCTCTCTGTCTCTCTCTCTTACTGTCCACTCTGCCTGTCAAAAAACAAAAAAACAAACAAACAAACAAACAAAAACAAAAAAACAAGGAGCTGGATTGGAAGTAGAGCAGCTGTGACTTGACCTGGCACTTATATGGGATGCCAGAGTGGTGGCTTAACCTGCTATACCACAACATTGGCCCCTGTTCAACCAACTTTAATTGCCTTACAGTTAGTTCTACATAGCCAGTGAACTCCTTCAGTTACTAGGCATTTATTTTGCAAATAGTTTATTTTGAAGGGTATTCTTGAGAATTCAAGTTAAAATGCTCCACTTGAGTGTGAGTGTGTGTGTGTGTGTGTGTGTGTGTGTGTTGGCAGCCGGGAGCCCAGGAAAGCAATTTGCCAAGGGCAGGAAAAGAGGCATTTGGTTATGTTCATTTTGTAAGTTTTGGGGCTACAATGACAGAACATGCCCTCTGGCTCAGCTGACAACTTTGGCACCCTCATTGTTCCCTCACATATATACCGAAATGAAACCATGGCTAAATCTTAAGGAAAAAATCTTGATTCTGCCTGGTGTATCATCTAGGCTTGACAGAGGTGGCCTCCTACCCTTGTCTGGTTTGTCAAGTTTCTTGAGTTGAATTGACTACCAAAGCCTTAGGATATTTGATATAAAGTACAACTGCCCTCCAAGTATACCTAGTAAAATTTAAACTAACTTCCACTTATGACTTATGGAAGACATGATTGAGAGAATCTTATAAATGGAAAAACAGCCCAGACAGAACATCGATTCATTCATTTGAAAGCTATTTTGGACTAATCAGGGCAGCAAGGAACTTTACAGTACATCACAACCTCCTCATTTTGCTACCTAAACCTCCTCATTTTCACACCATATTAGCTATTGGCCAATAATGAGAGTCACAGAAGAAAAACATCCCTCGCTGGAGTTTTTGCTGCATTTACTTTCAGGAGTTGCAAAGCTGTACTCATTGTGTCCCACCCGGCCTTCTCTGAGGCCAATCCACAGGGACATCTCCCTGGTCTCACACAGTGATGGTTGGGGCTGCAGCACTCGGGTGTCCCAGGCAGCACCTGCTAGTTAAGTAAACATAGGGTCACAGCTTTAATAAGACCCCCACATCATGACGCCTCGAGCCTCTAGCAATCAGGAAGTCCACGTAAAGACCAGGGCCTTTCCCTCACAGGTATTTCTGGCACCACTCATGAACGGTGACACAGTGACCCAGACGTCTCCCTAAACCTAGTGATCTGTTGACAGTTGTTTAACAACCACTATTCAGAAATAAGATTGCAAAGTGGTTAGTGATGGCTGTTGAGATTATGGGTGCTTTTTATATTTTCTTCGTTTCCAAGTTTCTGTCAATAAACACATTTTACTCTGGAAAAGAGAGTGGGCTACTTTGGTGGCAGGTCTGACGTGAATTGACATGTGGCTGTGACTGACATGTGGTCTTTATCTTATATGCTGTGAACATTCCTATGATGGCTGGGATTATGGGAAACCAGACCAGGAGCTGTTGAGTGTTAAGTAACATACAGGATATGCATCAGTTTGACTTTAAAATCTGACAGATTCTTAATTCTTCCATAATTCTTTTAGAAGGAGACTCCACCAAAAATGTTGGTTGGGACCTGAATTATAAAACTGTCTTGTTTTTATTGTGGCCCATTCTTTCCCAGGATTCCAAGGCCCTGGGAAACCTGGTGGGCATGGAGACAGTGACAGCAGCAGGCAGTACTCCCAGCCAGCCACTCCAGTCTCTTCTGGCCACTAGAGTTCTCCCAAGACTGGCCTCTCCCTGCCCTACTCACAGCAAACCCCCCCCACCACCACCAACAATCACTTCTCTGTGTGACCCAGTTTCCTTTGGGTGTCTCTTGCTCTTTAAACATGTCTGCATATACTTGAACCCTAATCCTGGACAGGGTTCAAATTCCATGGACTTCATGGGCCCTGTAAAAACTGGAGGATAAGCAGACACCTATTTGAGAGCTGGCAAGCAGTCCGTCCCCCCTAAAAAGGCTCGTGGAAGAGATCTGAGGAAGTAGCACACAACTCCACAGGCTGTGTATTCCAGCACCAGTCCCAGGTCAGCCAAAACCCCCACTCCACTTGTAACTGATCTTTTCCTCAGTTGCTAGAAAGCTGAGTGTCATATTTGTGACCTGTCTCTAAAAAACCAGCAGGGCAGTACCTGATTCTACTCATTTAATTGCATGTTTTTCACTCTATGGGAGGAGAGATCCTGCTTTTCTCTGTACTTTTAATCATTTACTCAAGAAGGGGAGGGGGGAGGGGAGGGGGAGAACAGAGAGAACTCCTATCCACTGATTTACTTCCAAAACCCAGCAACAAGAGTCCTGGTTTTGCAACTCAATCCAGGTCTCCCTGTGGCAGGAGGGACTCACCTGCTGCCTTCCAGAGTCTGCACTGGCAGGAAACTGGAACTGGGAGAGAGAGAGAGAGAGAGAGAGAGAGAGAGAGAGAGAGAGAGAGAGAGAGGAATGGTACCCGGGCACTCCAATATGGGACATGGTGTCTTAACTGGAGTCTCAACCACTAAGCCAAACACTTGCCCCATACTCACTTGTAATTTACCTCACTGCACGCACTTACGTAAAATGTTTTAGATCATTTCTTTTGGAATAAAGCAGAGTAGTATAGATGAACACACATTAACAAAATATGAAAGGGCAATGATAAGCCATCTCTTCACCCTTAAGGCTCTGAGATAAACTGGCAGAAATCTGCCAAAACTTCAGTGTGGGGGCCGGTGCTGTGGTGTAGTGGTGGGTAAAGCTGCCACCTGCAGGGCTGGCATCCCATATGGATGCTGGTTCGAGTCCCAGCTGCTGATCTTCTGATCCAGCTCTCTGCTACAGCTTGGGGCAGCAGTAGAAGGTGGCCTAAGTCCTTGGGCCCCTGCACTAGCGTGGGAGACCTGGAAAAAGCTCCAGGCTTCTGGCTTCAGATCTGCCCAGCTCTGGCTGTTGTGGCCATTTGGGGAGTGAACCAGCAGATGCAAGACCTGACTCTCTCTCTTTCTGCTTCTGCCTCTCTGTAACTCTGCCTTTCAAACAAATAAATAAATCTTCAAAAAAAAAAAAAATTCAGTGCAACAGGACCAGTAGTATAGCTTGTAATTTGTTTTATGTTCACCATCAATCTACAAGCTATATCCTGAAATGAAGAGTGAACTAGGAAAAAAAAAAAAAAGAAAGAAAGAAAGAAAGAAAGAAAGCATTAGCTCTGTAAGTCAGCCGGGCATTAAAAGGTACTTGGTTGGACAATGGTTCTCTCCCCTTACAGAGCCACAGTTCCTATTCTGCAACACGTGTACGTCTCTCCACTCATGCATGGAGGCAGAGCACGCACATACATGGAAAGTACAGATTCTGGGGCCGGATGTCTGAGTTTGAATCCCAGCTCCACGGCTCCCGTGTGTGTCTGGGGCCAGGTATCCAATGCCTCAATTAATACCATCCACAAGGCAAACTAACACCTACCTAATAGGGCTGTTGTAGACTGCATGAGGAAATACGTGCATAACATTTAAAGCAGTTCCAGCCTGCCTACCCTTTGGCGTGACCCTCTCTCCCTTCCGTGGCTGGAAGGAAGCCGGGTGACAACCTTTCCGGGGCCCCACACTTCCCTCCCTCCTCCGTGCCAGACACTCGACGGGGGCCGCGCTTCTGTCCCCTAGGAGCTGAGTCGAGTGTGGGAGACAGATGCAGTCACAAAGTAGGATGAGTAAGCACTGGAAGGAGGTATGGATGAAAAGCCCCTGTGGAAAAGCAATCTCCAGGCTGTCTATGGAGACTAACCAGACAGGAGGAGAGGGCTAGGCAGGCACAGTTTCAAGACCTCTGGCCCTTCCCGGACCCACGTGAACGCATCTTCCACCTAGGGACAGTGGGGAACCCGCCTTACGGGACGGTAGGGTATAAAACCCTTTTTAGCAATGTCAAACTTATCCAGCCTAAGTAACCCTCGCCTCCTCCACGGGCAGACCCGCCTGTCAAACACCGGCCCCTGCAGCCCGGATTCCCCGGTTAACGGAAACGTGAGCGGCTTGCAAACCCACAGCGAAGCCAAGAAAAGAGAAGGGAGGCGCGGAGGGCGCAAGGACTACGTCTGGTCGGGCGGCGGGAACCCACTGAACAGGGCAAGGCCAAGGCCCGCCCCGCTACGCGCGCTCTGCGTGACGGCAGCCCCTTCGGCGCGGCCAAGCCCGGGCCCCTCCCGGGCCGCCCTGCCCCCCCCCTTGCGAAGTCGCCCCCAGTTCCCCCCCTTTAAAGCCTGTCCCTCGTTACCCTGCCCGGATGTCGTTCGTCTAGAAAGAACGTGCCCCTAGCGCGCCTGCGCGGAGGCCGGTGCGGCGCGGCGGGGGGCGTCGGAGAGGACGCGCCAGGGAGCGCGCGGTGCGCCTGCGCAAAGGGCTGCGTGGCGCGGCGGCGGGCAGGGGCCGTGCCGAGTGAGTGGCGCTGCGGGTGGGGCCGTCGGCGGCGCTGGTGAGCTTTGCGGAGCTGGGCGGTGCCGAGGAGGAGGAGGTGGTGGTGGAGGAGGAGGAGGAGGAGGAGGAGGTGGTGCGGCCTGGGTCTGACGCGGCCCGGTTCGTGGGGGCCTCGCTTGTTTATTTATTTATTTATTGTGGGTCCCTCCGAGTGCGCGCGCGCTCCCGCTCCTCGCGGGGAGGGGGTGGGGGGAGGGCCCGGGACCTGGGGGAGTTGGAGCCGGGTTCGAAACGCCGCGTGACTCGTAGGTGAGAGAACGCCGAGCCGCCGCCGCCGCCGCCAAGCCCTTGTTCCCGCTGCGGGGAAGGAGCGTCTGGAGCCGACAAGATGGCGGACGGGGAGCTGAACGTGGACAGCCTCATCACCCGCCTGCTGGAGGGTGAGTCGGGCGCGGGCGCCGGCGACCCCCGCCCGCCCCGAGGCGGGCCCCCGGGAGCCGAGGAGGGGGCGAGCGGCTGGTGGGCGCGGGCGGCGGGCTCCCGGGGCGTGGGGGGCCGGCGTGCGGGAGGCGGCCTCCGCGAGGGGCCCGGGCGAGGATGCCTGCACCGGCCTGGTGTGTCCTGGACAGGTGCGCGTCTCCTCGGCGCTCTTTGTGCATTGCCCTTGGCCGCCGCCGACTGCTGTTGCGGGAGTGCATTTTATTTTATTTTTTATTAAAAAAAAAAAAAACCCATTCGGCTGGACTGTTTGATCTGCTCTACATTTCCACACGATGCCCTGGAACGGACTCTCCTAAGCCTTTGAGGACAAAATTAGCCACAGTTTACTTAGTATTCATTATTAGGCGAACAGAAAGGGGTAGGACAACCAAATCTTGGGTAGGACTGAAGATGCCCGTGAGAAATAGGAAATACATGGATGGCGCTTGCTGAAGGGGTTGGCGTCTGGGTTTAGGATTTTAGTAGGTTCTGCACAAACTTCGGACAGGGCTGTTGCAAAGCCTCACACAGATCCTCGCAGCGTTTGAAGTCTCTGAGTCTTTTTATTTGGAGTGGTTTTGTGGTGGTGGTGAGGCGGGGAAGAGGTGGAGGCCGGGAGTTGGAAGAATTGATTCATTGCAGGATATCGGTCGACGTCCATCGTCGTCCCTTTTACCCTAAAATGTGTGTCGACAGCAATTGTTTGGTGTGTAGGGAGAAATTTAGGCCTTTTAACAATTGAGAGTACCCGTGTCCGACACCGTGTGAAGGATTGCATGTGCGCTGCTACTATTGTTGCGATTACCTGAAGGTAATTGTTTACTACAAGGAAGCAGTGTAGTGTACTTATTTTGGAAAATCAGCAGATTGTGTGATTGGGGTGAGGGAGGATCAGTTCCTGCTCCTGCTGCCGCGGCGTCGCTCTCTGAAACATCAGTTCTGAGTGTACCTGTTGGGTAAATACAGTGTACTTGCTGCAGCCCGGAGAGCCTTCCAGCTTGGGAGCAAACATTTCGGCAGAACTCTTACTTACCTGTTCTTCACTGATCGCGTCGTTCCCGGGCGGCCCCTGGTGCTGACGTCGCATTCGCGGCCTGGGATTCTGTGGTCTTGTAACAGATGTGAACATCTTGGCCAGGGCACAGGAAAATTGCTTTGAAAAAATTATGTTTCTGTAATTGTGAATTTTCTCCATTAGAAAATCATATTATTAAAATTTTCTGTTTGTTAGATCTTGGGAAACATTTTGGGCCTGCCACCATTATTTTTTATGTATTTTAAATTTAGCTTGTAAATTTCTACATTTTTAAAATGATATTTGTATCGCACGTTCAGATTTTGTTTTGCATATGTTGATGTGCTTTCTAGGCGTAATACACAGTAGATTTCAGGAGCTTTTTAAATGTTCTGGCTGGAATATTTTAAGTCAGATGCAATGTGTTTTGTTTCGTTTTTGTTTTTATGATTACATATCACAAGAAACCCACTTGTAGATTGTTCAACGTTACTGGAGAAGAGGATGCTGGGGAAAGTTGTCTTGTAAATTCTGGCTACATTTTAGTTGAAGTTTTTGGACAGTTTTTTCCTTTTTTTGGTAAGAATTGTAGTCCAGTCATGTTTTCTTCTTTCACTTAGGTAGGTGTTTGCTGACCCCGCTGCCAGTCACCAGGAATGCAAAGATAAGACAGTTGAGTTCTGAGTGAAGCAAGTGGCTTTCGGGCCTTTTCCTGCCTCCTGTCGGTTTCTCAATTCAGCACACTCTGTGTCAGTCAAGAGTTTCATTACTTCTGAACCTTGAGGAAGTAGATTGAGTTCAACAGTGCCTCCCTGGGATCTTAAATATTCCTGGTTCTTCCTCCTCCTTCCTCAGTCTAGTCTTGTTCAATAACTTACCAACGGCAGAGTTGGAATTTTTAGTCTTCAAGGAAAGTCCTTCTTGTCTGCCTTGCATTTCAGTGTTATTTACCTGCAATTAAATTTAACTCAAATTTAAGTGATGTTATTTTATAAAGCTGCCTAGCAGAACAGCTATGATTTTTTTGTGGGATTTTTTTGTTTGTTTGTTTTCATTTAATTAAAATTGCAAGTCGGGATTTTGCCAGCAAAGGATAATAATTATAGTCAGGAGGAATAAATTTCAAATAATTCATTGTACAGTAAAGTAACTATTTAGCTAAGGGTGATACTGTATTCTTGAAATATGTGAAGAAGATACATGCTGCCCTCACAGAAATGGTAACTCTGTTGCATTTATTGGTTAGATGTGGCCATTCCACAACCATGTGCACTTCAAAACAGGATCGTTTTTTACCTGCCAGTTAAACTTGTCTCTGGGGAGGGGGATTCAGCAAGACCTGATCTCTTTTGGCTGGACAGCATACTCCTGATTCTTTTTCCCATATCAAATTGCCAATCAGCTTATACATGCTTTCAGTAGCTACATTGTATGAGTTGTTTAGTGTGTTTCTTTTTAGGTGGGCACATCATTGCTGTTTTATTTGTATTTTTGGAGAGCTTTTAGGACAATTTATGCTATTATTTAATGTAAAACAATTTGAGCACTGTTTGGATTATGTATGTTCTGCCAATATATGTTCTGGTGTCAGCCCTGTTCCCATAGACTTGATACAAATATTTAAAAACTGCTGTACCAGTTGATAATAATGTGTAGTTATTATGTATCATATATTTGGTAATTCATATGAACTGTGTTTAGCTTTTGCTTTTTTCTGATTATAAAAGTAAGATATTGTAGAAACCTTGTGATACAGAGAAGCATAAAAGAAAAAAAAAACTCCCATAATTGCAGTGATGAAATTTTGACAGTTTTATGTTCACATACTTTGTAGAATTAGAATATTCCTTGTATAGCTTTAATTTTTCATCATGAACGTTTCCCTTTGTCATTGAAATACCGTGAGAAATATCTCAAAAGCTATTTGTGTGATAGAGCAGTTTTCTTTAGTTGTCCTTTTTTGTCACAAAGGGTAATAGACTATTAGCATTGTATAAACTCCTGTGACAAAGTGTGATCAGGTTTGTTTTGGGGCCACTGATGGCTTTATGAAAATCTTAGAATGTGTACTTATTTTAGTAATCCATTTTTCACTTGATTTTGACCTGTCAGATGATTGAGTTTGTGAACTGCTCTAATAACTTAGTGAGCTTTCCCTTTCCCTACTTGTGGACCATGTACTTGTTAAAATTTAGTTGGATTGACCAAGCAAATAGGAAATTTTCTTCTTTTTTGTCCTTTTGAAGGTTAAAAATGAAGGAGCACACCTGAAAAATGAACTGAATTAATAAGGCCAGTGAATCCACCCCCCCTCTTCAATGACAGCTTTATTGCTGTGTAATGCACAGACCACGCAGTTTACCTATTTGAAGTGTGCTTGTGATTCAATGTTTTTTAAGTGTAGCCACAAAGCTCTGCCGCCATCACCACAGTCAACTTGGAACATTTTCTCTGTCCCTCTCTTTCTCACACTTGCACCTCAAAAAGTCCTGTTCCCAGTAGCAGGCACTCCCCTTCTCCCTCCCTCCAACCCTAACTAAGGCAGCCATTAATCTGTTTTGTCGCTATAGATTTGCCGCTGCTGCGCTTTTCACATAAATGAAGTTGTGCAGTGTGTGGTGTTTGTCACTGTTTTTCTGTGTTTCCGGGTTTGTACATGTTGTAACATGCACTTCATTTTTTGTGTGTGTGTGGCTGTGTAATATCCCATGGTATGTATTTACCATATTTTTAATGTGTCCATCAATTGACGAATATTTGAATGTTTTGCCTTTTTGGCTGTTGTAAGTAGTGCTGGCCTCAACATTTGTATTTAAGTTTTTGTGTGGGCTATGCTTTTTATTCCAGAGAGAGAATGTATATGGGAGTGAAATTGCTGGGTCATATGGTAACTCTCTTTAGCCTTTTGAGAACTGGTTAAACTGTTGGATTTTAGCCCAGCCATCTAGAGGTTAGGCAGTTTGAAGGAAGTGCTAGTTGTTCCTGGCAGCCTCGACTTCCACAGGAGCAATGTTGGTACAGATCCAAGGGCCAGACTTGTTGGAAAAGAGCGAGTGGGACCAGAGGGGAGGTCGCCTGAAGGGTCTTCTCTATTGATGCTTCTCCAGGAGGGGCTGGAGGAGGCATATTTTTTGACTGATCAGAACTGGGTGGGGGAGGGTCCCTCCTTAATTAGTTCCAGCAGTGTGAGGGAAACTCCAGAGATGTTTTTGTTTGATTATTTGAATGCAGAACTGGAGCTTTTCTGCTACAAGTTTAAATCCAAGAAAAGAATTCACTGGGATTTAGAAATTTAAATTTGAATCTAGATATAGAGTTATCTATAGAATTAGTGATGAAGATAGTAAATTGCATGCATAGTTTTTTCTCATACTTTTATTATCCATATTTATCATTTAACAGATTGTGCATTCCAGTGTTGTAACAGAGGTAAAATAATATCAGTGTTTAGGAATGTCAGGCTAGTTGGAAATATTGATTGAAATCCTGTTTATGTGTTTCTGAAACAAGAGTATTCTGGAAGTCTTGAGATGTAGGAAGATAAAGGAAAGAAATAATTTGTAAACGTCAGTAGGCTTTGTGGTGATGTGATGGGGACTCCCAAGGGAGCCTCCTGAGTGAGTTTTGGTTTGCTCCAAATTTATACCCTCAGGCAGTGAGCAGTGTTCTAACAGCTGTGAATAGCCAGTTCAGTGATTACTCTTCCTGGAAAAATGGAGGATAGTGAGACGAAGGGAGAATGAGATCAAGGTCACAGCTCTTTTTCCTGTAGCCCCTTCTCTCTCTCACACACACACGCACTTTAACTTCCAAGATTGTATCAGATTACCCCTGAAGTTGTGGTTATTAATAGGTGAAATGTAATTTTTTTACACCTCATCCTCTGAAATATATCCAACATCAGGAACTTTCCATCTGATTGAAAAGATGAACATATTTTTGAAG